TTATTATTATTATTATTATTATTATTATTATTATTATTATTATTATTATTATTATTGGTGTCACACAGCTCCCGGGAGGCGCAGTGGCAGGCAGACTTACAGCCGATATCAAACCTTGGAGCTAGAGAAGGAATTCCTCTTCAACCCCTATTTGACACGGAAGCGGCGCATTGAGGTCTCTCACGCGCTGGGACTGACAGAGAGACAAGTGAAGATCTGGTTCCAGAACCGGAGGATGAAGTGGAAGAAAGAAAATAACAAAGATAAGCTACCGGGAGCCAGGGATGAGGAGAAGACAGAGGAGGAAACCAACGAGGAAGAGGAAAAAGAAGAGGAGGAAAAAGAAGAAAGCAAGGACTGACGAGACTCCTTGAAGTCCTCATTTTATGGCGGATGATAAATCGAGGATGGTTTACGACGGTCATTTGCTTTTATAGAGTATAGAACGGAGAGACTCACACACAACAGTAACTACCTGTCAAAGAGTTGTAGCCCCCTTTCTTTTATTGTCATAGTACTTCCCCTGCTCTCCCCCCTCCCCAACAGCAGCGGATATTTCTACATTTTATTATTCACTCTCATTTTTTGTTTCTCCCAATAAAGTAAAGATAGAACTGGATTGACTGCAACCCCATTGAAACCCAGAGTTAGCTCTGAGGACCATTCACCTTGCCCCCCCCCCACCTCAATCCCCATCCCCACCTCAGTGGCACCAGCATCTGTCCCAATCTTTGCAATTTTCCCTGTTCTAAGAACAAAACACGGGCATCCTCTACGCCTCTTTGGAATGCCTCTTGCAGCTGCCCTCCCCAGCTCTAATGCTCGAAGGGGGGCTGTGGGTGGGGTGGAGGGGCAGAGAGCGGGATAATCACTTAGGTTTATCTTAATTTTTAAAGGGAAGCAAACAACAGCAGCAAGCGTAACCTACTCATCTCCTCCTCCAAGCTAAGGTACCTTTATGATTTCCGCTTTTTAGCTGTCAGCCACCACCACCTAAAGGACAATGGCTATTCTTATTCTGATGTTGGCTAGTTGCCCTTTTAGGAAAGGTGGAGGCTTGGCAGATTCCTGAAGACAAACATTTCATGCTTACTGAGTTTCTATGAACTTAAAGAGAGAACTTACCTAACCAGCCCTCCAATTTGCAGGACACGGGTATACCCCTAAACACCCTGATTATGGGGGGTGGGGAGTTCTACTCTGATCCAGGAATAAATATACTTAGGATACCCATAAAAGAGAGCTGGCTTAGACTAAGGTTTCTGGGGCGATGGGGTTATTTGCTAGATCACTTGTGTGAGCATTCTTCATGTACTACCTAATGGGAAACCTGCAATAATTGTCTATTAGCAACAAGATATGGGGGCTTATACAGTAGCAAAATAACGTAATAAAGAACTGCAAACGTAATCAGTTTGAGAAGAGTTGTGTATTGCCCTAATGCAAGCTACTAAGTAGCAGAAAATAATAATATTATTAATAATAATTAATAAGATCAGAAACATTGTAATGTATCTTATCACTACCTATAGAAGGAATCATGCTTTGAAAGTATTTGTAATGCGGTTCGGTTTTGTTGCGGTTCGGTTTTGTTGTCGTATGTTGCTGCTTACATTTTGGTTTGTTCTTTTTGGTTTTTTTTGTTTTTGTTTTTGTTTTGTTTTTTGGAAAAACAATTCCCAACAACTGAAACTGCCTAGTTAAGGACGCACAGTATTGTATTCTTTTATTGTGCTTATAATGTAGTTAGGACTTAATTGCACTGAATGTATAGTTATCTATTTGTCTTGACTTATCTGTTAATGCAAGATGCTCGACGTACACCCACACAAAAATGTCATCTGTTTTATGTCAACCATAGTCTTCTGCGTGTTCAAAACTCTGAATGTAGCAATTTCGGCTAGAAATGCAATTCTGGCTGACCGTGGATTTGTATTGTATACGTGAGATATTACTTAAATAAACAATAAAATTTAAGGGGGAAGAAATAGATTGAGCTTTTTAATAGCTGGGCAATTCTTTAGATCCACCCACCTCTATATACTCACCTGCTAAAACTTACTGGTGGTTAAGTGGTACCTTCAAATTACGAATGGCCTAAAACCAAGATCCAGCTTTTGAGCTGAAAGAAAATTGGTATGAGGTTCCAATATCTGCATCCCGGATGAAGATGAAGCTCTGAAATGTGGGAACAGACACTCTATCTGCTATATGGATTACAACTGAGTCAGGCCAAAGGAGTTTTGGGGAGCCTATGTGTGTAACCCTTAATATTCTGACCAGTGTTACATTGATGGAATTAAGTATCACGGGAGAAGTTTTCTTAGATTGCAATCTGCTAGAGAAGTTACAATGGAATTTATCTTGGGGGGGGGGGGAATTGAATTAAGATTGCACTCCAGGTTAACACAAACAAATCCTGAATCTACACTTGGATCCAGGGGTTGCCTCCTCCTCCTCTTCCTCCTCCTCCTCCACTTTCAAAGGACTGAGGGACAACGCCCCCTACCCAAACCTAAACTTAGCTCTGGGCCTGCCCCCAGAGCCCCTCACTCCCAATTACTTTATTTTTTTTTAACAATAAACACTCCATCTCTTTGTTATATAAATGTATGGTCTTCATTGGGATCTTCTTACCCATTCCTTTCAAATCAATTCTTTCAGTAAAGATTTTTCCTTGGAAATCTCATTATTGCGCAGGGTCCTTGCATAGTTTTCTGCTTTGGGTAATCTTATTTTTATTTGCATTCTTCCTCTTAAGCAAAGACGAAAGAAAGTAAGGCAGAAGGAACCGGCCTTTCTGCTCCCTTTATCAAGACAATAAAACAAGTAGAATAAGATTTTAGCAGAAGAGCTACAAAGTAGTCTGTGGGGTAATGTATTTATTTATGAGGCAGTTGCATATAATATACATGTGCACGTATACACAGACACACACACACTTTACACACTGTACTAAGCATATATGAGTTATCTCTGTGTGTGAACTGTTTCTCCACGACATGCATGCATATGTATACTTAAGTTCTCTCTCTCTCTCTCTCTCTCTCTCCCCCTACCCCACACACAGTCCCACCACATATGTATGTATTTCCTCTGGGCAATTCTCTCCTCCTATTGTCCCTTCCCCCACATATTGATGTGTGTGTGTGTTTGTGTGTGTATTTGTGTGTGTGTGTAGGCACACACGTGAAAGAAAGGTATTAGGCTTCTGTAGGATTTTCCTACATCTCTTCTGCTGAGAAATGGGACTCTTATCCTAACTCAATATTTGGTATGAAAGAGGACAGGCTGTTTACACCGATACTCCAGATAAGCCACTAAGAGAAGATTCCTAAGATGCATCTTGGCTTAGTGTGCAGGAGCTGGAAAAGATACAGGCCGGGTTGGGAGAAATCCTTTATCTTCCAACCTTAAATGTGTAGAATACTTCAATGTGTTGAGGGAGGGTGTGTGCAGGGGTCTGCTCCTACGTGCCCGAGCAACTTTGGATACAGCAGAAAGTAGGGGCGGAAGGGAAAAGGCCCTTATGTTCATCAGCAGGATTACATCCATAAATTACTGTAGATCCGTAGATGTGGTGCTTTAGGGTTGTATGGGGTTTGTGATCAGCCCAGAGGTGGGCTTTGCCTCTGTGCTTGGAGGCCAAGGGATCCAACGTTCCTGCATTCCAATATTTACTGGTACCCCCCAAAATAGGTGCTTAGATATTTCCAGGAATTTGGGGAAATGTCACAGAAGCAGAGTTCGGGTTGCCTGCAGAGGCAAAGACAACTCCCAAATGCACCAGGAACACCCCCTCCTTCTTGACTAATGCACGCTCTCTCATGAACCTGGCCCGGGCTGCTTTCTTTTTCCATACTTTGAGGATTGGATCTCTTAAGATCCCCGTCCCATTCCTCACACATCCCAAAGGCAGACTTTAATCCCAGCAGGCAATAATTCGAACCCACAACCTAAAGTTCTTGCCCCGCTAGAGCACAGGCCCGCCCTATCGTTAAAGGGCATATCCTTGAGTGGACACCCTAGCGTCCACCCACCCACCCATCTGCCTGGTCTTTGCAAGGGGGGTCTGTCAAAAGCTTTGCCTCGGTTTAGCAGACTTTAGCAGGCCACAGAGTAAGGTAAGCCTTTTTATTACGCCTCAAAACTAGGAGAGGACTGGCCTTTGCTAAACTTGGGGGTCTGTCTGCCTAGGTGTGTGCGTGAGGTGGGGGAGAGAGAGAGAGAGAGAGAGAGAGGGAGGGAGGGAGAGAAGGAGAGGGAGCAATTTTGCTTGCATGTGTGCATGTATGCATTCATCTCACCTGGCTATATCGCCTCCTTCCCTCTTCTCCCCTGAAGGAATGAACCAAATACAAACCAACACCTTTCAAAGCCTCTGATCCTTTTCATGAACTGACACCTAAACTCCCAAATATTTTTTGCTCTCTTTTCTTTTCTTCCACCTTCTTCCCCAAAGTTTAAGGTAGTCATTGGAATGTACAATCTTTATACGTGCATACATATATATGTATATATGTATACCCTGCAAGGAGAGGAAAGTTTAATTTAATTTCAAAGACAGGATCTGAAAAAGCGAGGGCAGAAAAAAGAAAGAAAAAAATAAAAGCAGGAAGAGGCGAAGAGCTGGATCTGCACTTTATTCATCCTATTTAAGCCTACATTCTTGAGTGGCTTGATTTGAAGGAATCTCTCAAATGAGACTTTATCTATCATAGGGATAGAAGCTAAATTATCGAAATTGCAAGGAAAAGCTGTTACATGGGGGGGGGACAGAAATGTTTACAGCTTATAAATATCGTTAGACAATATGCGTTTATTTGTAAGCGGGGGTTCGGATAATCGCTTCCGCCATTTGAAGAGGAAAGGAGAAAAAGAGAGGAGATGGCCATTTTTATTGTGGGAAGTAATTTAAAAGAAGATAAGCTTTTCAGAAAGTAGCTGTTTTGGAAAAGGCCATTACTTCAGTGTTTCTGAAATGAGACTCACCCACCCACCCACCCGCCTGGAGTAAAAGAAATACCACCCTTTTCTACACTTTTCTTTTTATTAGCCAATCAAACATTTCTTCCAGTCTCCATTTGTGATTTGTGAAAAATACAATTTCTCGAAAAACTGCACTGAAGCATCTTGCTCATTTTCTCTTAATTTATTATTCTCCTCACACCCGCCGTTAAGATAGTAAATGCTATCTATCCGTAAGGAGGGAGAACGGGAAGGGAGGGGGTTCCAACGAGGTTCAGTTCTGTACTTGGAGATGTACATAAATGATACCTCACCCACCTTAAGACAAAAACTTTGAAGCCTCGGGTCTTTGGGCCTAGCCTGGAAGAAGGCTTCAAGGGAGAAGTCGGGAGG